CCAGATGCTCGGCAGGCCCTGGCATGAGCCGGGAGCAACCCCCCCCCTGCAGGACCTGGGCAGGACCAGCAGAGTCCCCAGGCTGACAAATGTGCCGCCGCGACCAGTGCGGGAGCCTGGCAGAAAGCTTTGGGGCATTGGCGTGGCCCCCCCCGGCCACTCCACAGACCCTGGGGAGGCCTCTGCAGTGAGGGCTATGAGCACCGGGCCTCCCTGCCCCATTCCCACGTGTCCTCATCTCTCACGTGTTCGAGCCCAAACTATTCCCTTAATTATCCCCGACGGCTTTTCCCAAGTGATCCCCAAAGCCAAACGCGGCCTCTCCTGGGCTGTGCGCCCCGCAGCTCCCCCGACCCATCGCCTGCCCCTTCCGCGGCACTTCGGCGCCTGAGCTGCGGTGGGTCAGGGACAGCACTGCTGCCCCGCATCCTCAGAGCTCCAAACGCCGACAAACCAGAAGCAAAAAGCACGGCCCAGGGCCCAGAGAGGGCATGCAGAGCAGGGAATGGGGTCTGTACAGTCGAGCACAGCAGAGCTGCCACAAGCAACGGGAACGGGATGTTGGCTCCAGCGATCCCAGATCCAAAAGGATCTGGGGACCAGCCCGGAGCAAGGCGAGCAGCAGAGCTGACCAGGGGAGGAGGGACAAGCGCGGTCCCCGACGCAGGCGGCAGGTCGAGGACAGGATGCAGGCAGAGCACGAGCACGCAGCACCCCGCAGATCCGGTGCAGCCTGAGCCGCAGCACAAAGCAGAAGCGTCAAAGCCTACGGCATCCACCAGCCCGTCCTGAGGACGCGGCCTCCGAAAGGGAAAGGAGCCTCTCCAGCAAATCAAGAGGAGAATTAATGCTTTCTTCAAGCCAGGCAGACAGGATAACCCAGTAAAGCAAATACCACCATGGCCTCAACTTTTAAAGCTCTTCCAGGGCCACCTCCGTTGCCCTCGAGCCCTCTGAACTCAGCATTATCCAAAAACGACGCAACAAGCCCTGCCCGCGCCCGCCAGCTGCGATGGGCAGCGCTACAGCAACCCCCAGCTCTTTCACCCCAAGTCCCCATACAGTACTCGTGATTATAAGTGCTTTGCATACATAGTTTGACATCATGCATATACATTTCTATGCGCTAAGGCCCTCGGCCCAGCGGAGATACCGTCCTCCTGCAGCAGAGAGGTCCTTCATTTTGTGTAGGGCTCGTAGCGTGCGTCGGACTCCGGCCCCCTCCTGCTTCAGCTGGCAGGACCCGAGTCTGCAACAGCCTGGCCAGCTGCTGCCCACGCGCTTGCATATCGTAGTGGGAGTTCAGCAAACACCAGTACTACGTAAGCAGCCGATTACGAAAAGAACCGTATTTACAGAGCTACAGTTAGCTTCAGTGGGTTACGTCTGCAGAGATTCACCAAAGACAGCCGGAAAGAACGAGCTGTGCGTCCCACACATTCTGCCGGGAAAAACACGGGTACCAACATGGATTTCACAGCTTAGTTGGCACAGCTAAGGCGAGAGATTCATCGCTAACCAGATCCTCCCTCCCCAGACAGCAACGCTCAAGAGGTGGTTATGACGCTAGGGAAGAAGACGGTGAGGTGGGGCACGGCACGGAGCAGAGACCTCGGCCAAGAAGCCCCACGGAGGAAGGGGTTTCTCCTTTCTAAATAAATGAGTCTCTGCACAGAAGAGCAGCACCCCTCGTACCAGACACCACCACAGCCTGCAAGGTCACCAAGGGAAGTGAGAGTGGAGGAAGCACACGCTCAACCGCTCAGCGGAGCCTCCTCCGGCATCCAGGCAGGGAGCCCCTCGCTCAAAGCAGCGCTTGCGGCCGCTCGGCCGGGGTGGTGACCGATGCTGTAGCACATCGAGGAATGGGGAACCTAGCTCTACGGTGAGGCGTAGCGGGGCGACCTGGCAGCAAGAAGGGGATCTGACCTGCTTATCGGGGAAAGGGAGGGGGCTGTGCTTGCCCACAGCAATCCAATCACAACTGGATCCCACCTCCTAGAGGCTGGAGCCCACTGGGAGTCAACAGCCCAGCCTTTTTGTCCCATCGGCCAACACGGGTTTCAGCTACCGACCAAAAGGGACACCAGGAACGGTCACAGACATCTCAGAGGCTCTGGAGGGGCAGGAGCACAGAGACTCAACTATACAGGGTGCAAGAGTCCAGAGCCAGAAAGCAGCGCCCTGGGGAGAAGCTGAAGGCAGCTGTTGTGTCGTGTACGGGCTGCTCATCTGGCTGGTGGCTGGGAAAGGACCGGGTGAGCCAGCGTGACATTCAGGGAGTCATTGTGCTGCACCAGGGATGTGTGCTTGTAGTGCAAGACCAGGTCCTTGAGGGAGGCGTAGAGGTTGTAGGGTTCAGCGAACCCGTAGCCGGTCGCCGTTTTGTAGATCACGCAGTGCTTGGTGTCACCGTCCACCCTGCCAGGGAGACAAGGGAGCACGGGTCAGCGGCACGCCAGAGCCCCGCAGCGCGAGGGAGCCCCGCTGGGACAGGGACAGCAGAGCGCAAGCGGGCGTCACCGAAGCAGCCCAAAGATACATCTGGCCCTGGCAGGAGGAGCCGAGGCAGACGGGAAACCTCGGGGAAGCCCAGCCTGCCAGCTCCCGCCTCCGCCAGCCTCCAGCATCTGGCGAGAGAAGGGCAGAGCGATGCGGGAGCACAGCCCGCGCCAGCTCCATCCCGCTACGTCTGCTTGGGGATACTCACACCACGGAGCAGGCGTAGCATCCCTTCTGGCTGCTCTCGCGGATCAGGAAGGTGCCGTCCCGCTTGCCGCACAGCATCTCTTCTGCCTGCAAACGGTTGATCTTCCCCACGTACCATGTCCGCTCCTCGTGGTGGGGCAGCTCCTCCTCGTCATCCATCATGGAGTACTGGCTGCAATCGAGCACAGGCAGGGTCAGACCCCCTCAGTTTGGGCACGTGGCCCCCACATCTCCCCCCCCGCTGCCAACTGCCGTCACCCATTCCGGCAGGGAAGGCGTCCCCGGCTCCCAGGCAGGGAGATGGGACTTGCCTGCGGCCCCAGAGGAGGCAGAACTGGCTGCGCAGCCTGCGCTCCTGCGGCCCCCCCCATCCCACAACACGCAAGCAGGGACACTCACTCCTCCGTCTCGTTCTTGATGCCCAGCCACTCGTTGATTTTCTTCTGCCGGGCACCCTTCTGCGTCAGCCACCTGGGGAAGGAGAGGCAGAGCTCAGCGCAGGCAGCGTGCCCGGCCTGCGGCGTCCGGGCCAGACACCGCTCGTGCAGCTATCGCCAGAGGGCAGCAGCCGTCCCCTTTGAGGGACCGCCGTGCCCCGAGGCTGCATGCTGCAGGGCTCGCTCCTGCACCCAGCAGCCCGCAAGCCCGGTCCGACAAGCCCCACAGCCCTCAAGGAGCCGGCTGGATCGCTCCCAGGCTGGGCTGGAGGGGCAGCAGGGCCCCGCTCCCAGCCCCTGTGCGGGGGCAGGCACTACGTACACCAAATACTGGTCCCGCAGTTTGCGCAGCTGCATGAGGTCTGGCTTGAGGCTGTTCATGCGCTTGTCGATCTCCCGGTTCTCCGAGGCTTGTTTTTTCAGGTCTTGCTCCAGCTTCATCTTGCTGTCATGGATCTCTGTGATGCGAGACTTGAGCTTCTCCGAGTTCATGAGGATCCTGGGAGAACAGGGGGGGAGGTTTAGGCTGTGAGCCAGAGTCGGGGAGGCAGAGGAGGCAGCCTGCCAGCTCCAGCCCACAGCACGCTGCTGGAGAGACAAGGATTGCGCATGCCTCGGCTCTGCGCTGGGCCAGGACGATCCTTCCAGTCCCCAGAGCCCTTCCCCAGGCAGGGCAGGTCACCAGCACCCCCGGTCCTCACCGTTGCACCTCCTTCTCGTTGCCCTCCCGCCGGAAACGCTCGATGTACTCCTTGCTGCATTTCTCCTGCGTCTGACACTGCTCCTCGAAGATCTTGATTGTCTCGTTGAAGGCCTCGATTGCCGTCCTCTTCATCTGCAGCTCCTGAAACGGGAGGGGAGAGCTGAAGAAGGGGGAGCGTTTGGGCAGGTTTCTGCCCGTTCGCATCCCCTCCTTCCCCCTCCCCAAAGCAGCACTGTCCTTGCTGCAGCCAAAATATCCCCCTCTTCAAAGCCCGTTCTCTGGCGAGTCCCCTCAAGCCCCCAGGAGCAGACAAATGGGGCAGAGGGTGCCCGATCTCTGCTCTCCTCTGTGCACAGCAGTGTGGCTGCCAGCAGTCAGGGGGGATGTCAGGGCAGCTCGGGGGGAAGGCAGTGCCCGCATACCTGGGACGTGCGCGTGTACTCCTCATACAGCAGGTCGTACTCCCAGCTCTTGTCCTGGTACTGCTGGTGATAGACCTTCAGCTGCTCCCCGACGGCTTCCACGCTGTCCTCTTTCACCACTTGGTCCTGCCATACGCACAGCCTCAGTCAGGACCTGCTCCTGCCCTACAGCAGCCCCCCCGGCAAGGCAGCTGGTCCCACGACGCCCCCTCTCCAGCCCCCCATCACCCCACAAAGCAATGTCCCAGCATGGGGGAAGGGGCGGGACATGGTCATCTACCAAAGGGCCAGGGATGGACAAGCAAACGCCCCTGGTTCAGGCTGTGCTGGCCAGCTGCATCCCTGTGGCACAGGCCTCACCTGCTGGTACTTGGAGATGGGGTAGAGCAGCCTGGTGTCCAGCTTGGCGTTGTACTGGGCGAGCGACTCGTGCCGGTAATGGGTGATGAGCTCCACCACCGAGCCAAAAGTCAGGGGCTCCGAGAAGCCATACTTTCCTTCCCGGTGAAAGATCTTGATCAGCTTGTTATTGCCTCCCTTCCTGCAGCGGGGAGGGGAGAGAGGGCACTTATCACCACCCCAGCATCCTACACCAGCTTGACGTCTGGGCGTCCGGGCAGCCGCAATCGCTCGTGCCGACAGCTCCACCCCAGAGTAGCGGAGGCTCTCGGGGGACCCCAGCACCCTACCTGAGCGTAAGCGTGTACTCCCCCTGGATTTTGCTGGAGGCATCGCGCACCAAGAAGGTACCATCTGGCGTGTCCCGTAGCTTCTCGTTCACCTCCTCCCTGCGAGGAACATGATTGTCACGGCCTGTGAGGTGCAACCAGAGCTCCCCTAGATAACTCGATGGACAGGGCACCCAGGACGTGAGCTGCCAGCCACCCCCTTACCGGGAAATGTCACCCCAGTACCACTCGGCGTCCTGCAAGGGCACGCTGTTCCCGTTGGCCAGGCTGGCTGCACTGGGCTTTGGCTTAGGCGGTTTTGGAGGCAAGGCTGTAAGAGAAGGAGGGTTGAAGCAGGGTGAGCCCAAGTCCCAGCTCCCTACCCTTGCCAACGGCAATTCCTCGGAGCACTGAGGCCCCCTCCCTGCAGTGACCGTCCCGGGAAGCCCCGCTTGGCCGCCACGCTGCCAGGAGCTGCTCCAGGCACATCTACAGCAGCAGAGGAGTGCCTCGAGCTGGCCTCCAGGCACAGCTGGGCTACAGAAATACCCTTGGCAACCCGCTCATGGGGGCAGACTCCACACCCACAGAGCACAAACGCCAGCACCTCGGGCCCCAAGGAAAGGGCATCTCAGTACCTGGAGGCAACTGTTCTGGCTCTAACTCCTTCGTCTGCAGAAGTATCTCCAGAAACAGCACGGAGAAGTCAGGGCTCAGCTCTGGGCTGCAGGGAGAGAGGAGCCAAGATCAGCGGTTGTGAGGGAGCACATGGCACTGCTCCCATGCCCCCCGGGCAAAGGGGCAGCCGGGGTCGGCTGGTTCATCCCAGCGCGCAGCCCAGCTGCCAGATCCCAGGTTGACACAGCAGCAAGGGCTCTGCCCTAGTTTGAGTCCCACCTCTTTGTGCTGCCAGCAGTTTAATCCCACGTGCAGCGAGGCAGGGGCTGCGGGCAGACCTGCTGTTACAGGCTGGACTCCTTGTCCTGGCAGGCACTTGGTACACGGTTGGAACCCGAGAGCCTCACGTACCTGGCACCAGGCAGCCGGAGAAGAAGGGGGCCGAAGATCTCTCCCAGGGCCCGAGGGTGGAGGCTGTTGCTCTCAGCCTGCTGCGATACCTTCCCCAGATGCCGGAGCAGGAACTGCAGGGTGAGCGTGTTCTGGAGCGGGACCGCAGGCGACTCCAGGGCCAGCAGCAGCTGCTTCCGGCAATTCTCTGACTGGGGAATCTCTGGGGAGAGAATAAGACAACGATGGAAAGGCTGGGACAGCCAGCACCACTCTCCACGCTCTGGCTGCGTCACAGCGTGGGAGCGCTGTCAGCAGCAGAGGCCGCGTGCCAGACCCCATAGGGACAGGACTTATTTTAATACCCCAAAACATGTCCGTCCTGCCCAGCCACCCGTTCCCAAGCGCGGCCAGGGGAAGCCCTTACCCTGCAGGACGCGAAGGATGTCTCCGTGCACGGACACCGGCACCACGGGGGAGGGCAGGTCCTGCAGGTAGCCTCGCAGCGCCTCGCCCAGGGAGTGCACGTCGAAGGGCTCCAGGTCGCCCAGGGTCCAATCTGCCAGGGCACAGATTTCCCATGGCTGGGGGGGCACAGCACCGGGCACCCAGCCGGCAGCTCCGGTGCTGCAAGCACCCGTCCCAGAGGCCATCGCACACCACCTCGCCAGCTATGACGGGACACGGCAGCCTGGCACCACGAGGGAGCTCAGGCAGCCCTCGGGCAGCCGAGCAGCCCACACAACAGAGGACGCCTGGAAGTGGCCCCTGCACCCCAGAAATAAGCTGGCTCTGGGAACCCAGGCAGGTCCGTCCCCCCCCCCCGAGAGGTGGTAGAGGTCATTTCGGGTTCCCACAGCCTTTGCCCTGAGCCCTGCCACAAGAATCCTGGGCACACATGACTCGTGTGACAGTTCTGTTCCCTGCTGCTGGTAGAGACAAGCGCAGACTGACCAGCCACACACCGAACCCGACGGGGAAAATGTCTCCCTCAAACCGTGTCATCCCATGAACGCAAGGCGCAGGCTGTTGGGACAGCACAAAAAGCCTGTCCCGAAAGCAGCGCAGCCAGAGCTGACAGCACCGCGTAGCTGGGGTTTGCAAGAACGTCTGCGGAAGGGGACAAGCCAGCACAGTGCTGGATGAGGCCCAAGCCCAGCCGAGAGGCAGACGGCTCCGAAGGCTCCCCGGCAGAGACATCAGCCACCGGCACAGCGGAGCCAAGGCTCCAGCCACGAAGCTGAGCTGAAAGATCCTCCCCTGCTTATTAGTGGCATGACAGAGCCAGAGAAGCCTCTGCCAGCCCATCAGCAGAGCACCCCGAGAGTGGGGCACCCCGAAGAGACAGCAGGAGACAAGCGCAGGGCTTCACTTGTTGGCCTGCGAGTCTCCGAGCCGGTGCCACGTCCCTTTGCGCCAGCCCATGGACAGCGGGCACAATCACTGCCTCTCCTGTCCCTTCCACGCAAGAGGGGAACATGTCGGGATGGGGACGGCCCAGCCCCACAGCCTGTGTGCTGGGAGTCAGGAACTGCCGAGGACAGGCGAGCCTGGCCTGGATTGCATTACTGCTGGCGCTGTCACATCCACTAATCTCCTCCATCTGAGCCGATTCGCCTCCTCACCACGCGGAGCTGGTTCTTACCGGTTCTCAGCGCTTGCCTCAGTTCGGAGCCAGATGTCCTGTACAACATCTCGCTGTCTAACCCTGCGGAAGCGGGGACGCTGCTGTTAGCTGCGAGCCGTGCAGCTCCCAGTGCACGCACCGTTTCGGTGCCAGCCCGGCAGCCGCGTGCCGGCCGGGCAACGGCTGCAGCACGGCTAACCAGGCCTGGATGGCGTCCAAGCCAACCTCCTGCAGATGCTGCTGCAGCCCCCTTGGCCCCCAGGACAGCTGGTTCCATGGCCCCATTTCTCCCCCACGGCACAGATCCAGGCTGAAAGCGCTTCCCAAACCCCAGCACCCATGTGGGGCGCGTAGGCATCCCGCGTGCAGACCCAGCACCCTCACCCCAGGCCTCTGAGCAGGACAGCGCAGCGGGGTCAAGCCCAGCTCTGGGGAACAGCGACTCAAGCCAGGGAGGAGTGGGGGGCCCCCCGCTTCTGCAGGCAGCTGCATCCTGCACGTCTGACAGAGCTCGGTCCAACGCCAACAGCTTTTAAAGACAGCTGCCTCCCCCACTGCCCTCACTGGGGGGTTTCGGGGGGTATTAGCCCCTCGGTTCTCAGCATCCCCCCTTACCTTTTTTCTCAATAGCTTCCACCAGCTTCACCAGCAGCGGTGGTGCAATCTCGGGAGGGCTGAACTGCTCCTGCAAATCCGGCAGAGGAGACCCTGGAGGAGAGGGAGGGAGAGAAGGGGTCAGCCCCATCTCAGCCCCCAGCAGATGCTCTGCAGCGGGGCCAGGCCAGGGCACAACCAACGCTGCTCCCAACGGCAGCATCCGAGAGCGAGGAAAGCTGTGGCCGCTGCCACGAGGCCACAGCGCACACGAACACCGCATGGAGGCCGCAGGGAACCTGTGAGCTGGCCCAGAAACCAGCATAGCGCTTGTGGAACCCAGCTTTGCTCCGAGCCCCCAGGAGGGTGTGCACAGGGGGACCCCTACTGCTCCCTGCAGAGGCTAGGAGGCAGAGCATATATCCCTGGGGACCCCGGCACCCCGGGCAGGCACCGCAGGGGTTACCAGGGCTCCTGAAGCTCAGGCTGGGACATGGTCCCTGCCTAGCACAGGGGCTGTGCGGGGCTGGTGGAGGAGCACGGGCAGGGAGCTTGCTCGCGGTGGTGAGCTGTGATTAATCCAGCGATTCAGACAGAACGCCATGTCAGCAAATTCCTGCCCTTGATTACTCGTTTAACATGGAAACCAGCCCTCTGCCTCCCCCTCCCTGCGAGCACACAGCCTCCGTGCAAGCTGTTACAGGGTGCAGACAGCCCGCGGCACGGGACCAGGGTACCCGCCTTCCCAGGGGATCTACAGCCCCACATCGGGCGGCATTTCACTGTCACCTCCAGAAGATCTTGAGGTCCTGGCTCCAGGCACCCCCCTTCCCTGTGCTGGAGGGGTGACGCATGCCGGGGCAGGAGCATGCAGGCCTGGCTGGGCAGCTGCCAGCGGGAGGCTTGCCAAAGGATGAGCGGTGCCAGGCCCCGTCTCGCTTCCAATTGAGCACCAGCCGGTGCAGGAGGCTCCTCCGAGCCCGTCCACGAGGCTCCTCCAGGCCAGTCCACAGCACCGGGCAGACTCTGGGAAGCCCACGGTTGGTGAGGACACCCAGCACGCTCCACTCTGGGGAGGAAGAGCCAAAAGGCTGCTCCCCGTTGCGAAACACGGCTCTGTTGTCATGGATCTGACCCGAACTCACCCGGTGTGGTCTTGCCATGAGGCGCAGCAAGCTGAAATTCCGCACCCAGCTGAGCTTCCTGCACCCACGGCCTCGCAGGGAGACGAAGCAGCTCATGTCGGTGCTTCGACTCAGCAGCCACGGAGCAGGGTGGCAGGCACCCAGCAGTTCTGCAAGGGCCTGTGCTGCTGGGGGGCAATCTCCCACCAGAGAGCGCCTGTGGGCACGGGAAGGGGCCCAGCGCGGTGCTGGTTGGTGTGGGGAAGCTGCAGGCAAGCTGCCAGGTTGGCAGCTCTGAGCCTGACCCTTGGGAAGGGCTGAAGGGAGAGTAAATACTGGCGCTGCCCGCATGGCCCAGCCGGGAATGTGCTGCTTCAGCAGGCAGCAGCTTGCCTTTTTTTATCAGGCAGCCTGTGCCGGAGCCAGCAGCGGCTCCCAAGCCTGCCGGGCCTCCGGGCTGGGCTGCCACGAACAAGGCCGCTCACAGCACGGCCGGGGCAGCTGCGGAAATATTTCCGAGCCGCATTTTCCGCTCGCGTTCTCTGCGGAAGGCGAACACCAGCAGCTCGTAAATTCACTGGCAGAAAGCGCTGGGTCTCGCCGCTCTGCAGGGTCAGCCCTGCTCTCAGGCTGCGTGCCAGCCGTGGCACTGGCCCCGCTCCGCACGTGACACCGTGGGGCTAAAGGATCCCTGCCAGCCAGGGCAGGACCTGGGAAACAGGGCAGAAACACCGCCAGCTATGAGCTTCGTGGGGCAGCCAGGAGACATACATCTCTGCACCTCCCGAAGTGCAGACCATGAAGAAATAACATGGGCTTGGCTTAAATACAGTTTCTCAGCTGCAAAAATGTGTCTCTCCACCAGCATCCCGGCAGGCTGCATGTAAAATGGCCCTGGGCGTTTGAATTGCCACCCTGCAGGCCCTGTCTGTGCCCAAAGTGGAGGCTGGCTGGGGGGATGCACCCAGAGGGGACAGGGACAGGGCTGGCACCCGCCTCGTCTGTCCTGGTACGCGACCCTCTCTCTGCTCCATCCCCGGGCAGGATGCAGACAGGCTGGCTTTTGGTTTCTTTCCCAACCACGTCTATTCTGTGTGTCAGGAGCTTTGGCACGTATCTTCTTCCACATCCCAAAGATCCCCACCCTGGCGCAGGGATGCGGCTTTGACCACCCAGACACACCTCCACCAAGCCCTGCTTGAGGAGGAGAGAGCCCACGAAGGCATAAATACAGCCCCCGAGGGAGCGCAGGGCTGGATGCAGGCAAGGCCGACGCATCCACCACAGAGCATGCCCCAGGCTCCCAAGAGAAGCTGCTTTCTTGGAAAGGCAGGTTGCAAGTGGGATGACTCAGGTCAGCGGCTCTCGCTGCCAACCCAAACGCACGGCCCGGCTGTATTCCCACCCTGTGGAGATGTTTCCTGGGGCCGCCCCTCCGGCTCCGGGAGCAGGAGCACGGGAGGCAGCTGTGGGGAGCCGTGCACCCAGCCCCACCACCCTGATTTCTGAGACAGGGGCTCCTTTCCATTCCTTAAGGCCCCAGAGATGTTTCACACAGCTAGAAGCATCTGATGGGATAGCCGTGGCTCCCAGGCAGAGAGGGACGGGGAGGACGCAGGACTGCCAGCTGGGAGTGTATTCTGATGCCCACCAGCTTCTGCTGCTGACCCTACTCCTCCCATGTGCACCAGCACGAGCTCTTCTGCAAGGCACGGGAAGGCAAAGTGTGGCTATCACCCCTGTTTGCCGTCTCGGAGTGCCCAGGGCCTGCTGAGCCCCTGCCACAGGGCTCATGTGCCTGGGAGCAAAAAAAATAGGCAAAGAGAAGGCAGCTGCCACAGCTCTATGGGCAACGCTGAGGCGCGGCAGCTCTCCCAGCTCCCGTGCCAAGCCCAGCGCCGGCTGGGAGGCAGCCGCAGG